ACACATTATATATTGAATATACATTTCTATTTATGTATATTGTTTAATAAACAAATTTAAACATCCAATAACAAACCAAATAAGGCCAAAGCTATAAAAGATTACCACATTTATTAAAAGGCCATCACATTTAAAAGTGAAACAGAATCCATGTACATACACAGTCACTGATAACAGACAGTTTTCACAAGACTCTATGGAGTCCTATGAAAAGCTAAAAATATCCTTTTAAAGGGTAAAGTTAGGCTTGTATAGAAGGGTTGCCAGGAGTAATCCTTTTCCCGCTATATAGGAATCTGGCTGAACAGCTCAGGTTTGCAAAGCTGTATCTGAACAAAGACATCTTGAACAAGGACAAGGAAGACCAAATTGGAGATGTTCAGCCATAATGATCGGCACCACATTCAAAGAAAATCTAACAAATTAAATGGAGCATATCAGCACAAACACATTATACCAACTGGCAAACACAGTGGTGGAGGTGGGATGATTTGTTGTTGTTTTTTTTACAGCTACAGAAACTGCAGCCCTTGTAATCATTCAGTTGACCAAGTATTCTAGAGTCAAATGTTGTTTGACAGCTACAGCTTGGCTGAAATTGGGACAAGCAACAAGACAATGATCCCAAGCACAGCAGCAAATTTAGAGCAGAATTACTAAAAAAAGAAAATTATCAAGGCCTTGTTGTGGCGTGACCTTAAGAGAGCTGTGCACAAACCGCAATGAACTAAAGCAATGTTGTAAAGAAGAGTGGGATAAATTTCCACAGTGATAGAAAAAAATGCAGAAAATGATTTCTTAAAGTTATGGCTACTAAAGGTGCATCTACAAGCTATTGAATTATGGAGAGTACCCAATTATTTTCTGTCTTTTTCCCATAAATATATTTATCAAAAATCTGTTACTGCATAATGGGTAATCGACAATATGTCAACATGAATATATATAAGAGCCTAACCAGAGATGGGAGATACAAAATAGCTTCAGCTAGGGACACTTTACATGAAATGGTTTGCCTTGCATCTCCCTGTACTCACTCCATTGATTAAATAAATAATTATTGCAAATCAACGAATAAATAAAATAAATGTCAACATGAGTATTGATTACATAAAGTGGATTTCTGCATACCTAATTGACTTTCTGTGTTGTTTTCTTTTTCTTGTCAGACCACAAAGTCTGGATCTTTTTAAAGATTGATGGGTATGACTTGTGAATGAATGACCAAATTTAGTTTTCTCAGCGTGTTGCACATTCAAAGTGCAATCAAAGAATCGCCCAGAGGGTAAAGACATTCAGATAACTGCTGATAAACAATCTGCTCATTAGGTTTCCTACGTAACTTCACCCCATGCATATCTAAGAGTACAACACACTGATTGTCGAAGACAGAAATTGTCGTTCTTAGGTGATCGTGTTTATGCAGCGTATGCTCTGCAAAGTAAATCAAGTCAGTTACCTAGCAGCAACTTAACAATGACCACAACCTCCAGCTCTGCACAGCAGCCGCACAACTGAATCAGCCTTATTGTCATTCCATAGTACACTGTGGTTTAATTTGTCCTGTGATCTAGCAGGGGATTTCTGGATGACAGCAATGAAGAAGGCATTAAAATCTGAATAGATGAACAGTCAAGAACAGCCCGGGGACAGAGAAAAAGAGATGTAGAGAAAGATTTCTTGGAGCCAGGCAGACTAGCTTTTTGCAACACAAATGACCCAACATAAAGTAAATCACACTCTACAGATTCTTAGCTAAAGCACCATCCTGGACCAAAACTTTATTGTTTTACATAGGTCAAGTTTGTTTACTATCAGATCTTGCAAAATCTAAATTTATCCACTTTAGTTTTTGGGCATGGTCACTGTATTACTTTGTTATAGTTGCTACAGCTTTCCACTTTTTATGAGACTTGGTCATGAGACCCAGTGTAGTTTTTCAGTGTGGCCGTCCTTAGGCATGGTGATCCTGGGAAAAGTGGTTTTACTGTTTGTTGAAAGTTTTTAAGATTACTAAAGTGATGAATTTCAGCAAGATTAAAAATAGGCCACAAAATCACTTTGGAGGACACCATGGTGGTTTGAAGCTTGGGCACTTGGATGCATGCAAAATCCTGTTACATTAGCCTGCAACC